TTTGGATGGCTGAATGGTTAGCACGTGCGCACTGTATCATGAAGTCTTTCATTGAGTCAACTGGCGTGGTTTTGATTCCCCGGTTGTACGTGACAAGAAGTACAGTCGCCTGTCCAACCTCAAACTGCTAAAGACCCGGTGTATTCCCACGAAGGCGCAGTTATTGAGCGTGACCAAAATTAATCCTTCCCACGAAGGCGCAGATATCGACTTGCCGGCTTTCGTTTGAAGAGAGACATGTTGTTATTAGGACCCAATTAACGGTGTTAAAGATTTTATGAATTTATGTTCACTCTGAATTTTATTCACCAATTTTGCAAGAAGAACAAAATATCAATGAGATTAGAATCGTTCAGTATGCTGGGGGACAGGAACCACCAAGGAAAGGATACAAAAATGCTCCAATCCAAGGCCAGCTCCAGGAATTTGGCGAAGTTAAACTAATTTTTGTTATAGTATAGTTATGTTTTTATTTATTTGGCAAAATTAAATTAATTTTTGTTATAGTATAGTTATGTTTTTATTTCTTCTGCCAAAACTGATGCTAAAATGTTGGTTAATTAGTTACATTGGGGATTATGAAAGTGCAAATTCTTATCATAACAATCTATAACACCATTGTTACGTTTTTAATCCATTTTAATCCCTAGGGGCTGGATTCCCGCGAAGTCTTCGAAAACGACATTTTTTAATCCGTTACGGTCAATAACTGCGCCTTCGTGGGAATAAACCAAAGACCCCTACGCGCAAGTGAATTGTGTCGAGTGGACGTTAAACCTCATTTTTCTCTCTCTCTCTCTTTAAAAATTTTACCCTTATCCCCTAAAATATAAGCTTGGACACCAAATATATATGGGATTTATTCTTCAAATTTTAGATACCTGTAGTTCAATGACCTGTCAGACTTTAAAATATACCCACTCCATGGCTGAATCTATTTGTTAAGGCCAGCTCAATTTTCGTCAGGATCGCTGAGATGTAAATAAGGTTAGGGCACATGATTGTTGGAGAGATTTTGTTAGCTTAAAGTTTGAGTAAGCATTGCATTGGGACTATGTCCCGGGTTAGGGTTGGGGTTAGCGCTAGCCCTGTTTATCTCTCGTGACCTTTGACCAAACTCGAAGTAAGCCTTATCAAATAGACCTAACCCCATTCTTATAAAAAAAAAGAGGACAAACAGTTCTATTTACTAACTATATCTTTGACTCAACTGTCCGACTTTTTAAAATTAACAGACAAGGACACTCGAAATAAGTTAAGGTAAAAAGAGTTCGTTGACCTGTTGAAATGTGAGAGAGAGAGAGAGAGAGAGAGCGAGAGAGAGAGAGAGAGAGAGAGAGAGAGGGTTAACGTCCACTCGACACAAACTAGTTTATTTCGGGACTAACATGTCAGTGAGCACTGAACATGTGGTTTAATTTTAATTCAATATTTGCCTTGCGCGTAGGGGTCTTTAGCAGTGGGAGGAAACAGGGTGACCCGGAGAAAACCCACAAGATTGGACAGGTGACCCTAATCCTTGTCACGTACAAACGGGGAATCGAGAAACCAAACCAATTGACTCAATGACAGACCTTATGATATGTAGAAATGTTATAAATTTGTTTTCTTGAAGATGTTTTATAACAATCTTGTTAAAGCCCCGAGGCACCATAGTAAAGGTAGGGGTGATTTAAACACAGACCATATGTTAGATACCACCTTGGTGTCGATGTTTATAGGAATCTTTACATGTGGTGGAAACCAGAGGATCGGAAATACCAACGAGGTTGGAGAGAGAGAGAGAGAAATGTGTGTTAACGTCCACTCGACACAAACTAGGTCATTTCGGGACTAACATGGTTTTAATTGTATTTCAATAATTCGCTTGTGCATAGGGGTCTTTAGCAGTGGGAGGAAACCGGAGGACCCGGAGAAAACCCACGAGGTTGGACAAGTGATCCTACTCTTTGTCACATGCATATGTGGACTAGAAATCGGACGTGGTCTAAATCGGACGTGTTACACCTTTCGACCACCCAAAAATAACTTTTGAATCTTTGAATCAATTTGCATTTAGGTAAGACTATGGAACCACGGTGACTCATTGTGTAGAGGGCTGGCCGTCCCGAGTCCGATTCCTATCTTGACCGAGAAAAAAAAACGAAATGAAATGGAGTTTAACGTCCTACTGTTCTGCTCCTAAACTGTTCTGCGCCATACAGTGTGCGATGAGGAAAATTTTGCCCGGGCAGCGGCGCGACGGTCTACTCTTATATCGAATTTCAACTGCCAAGGGATCTTTATGTACACGGGACCTCGGTTTTTCGTCCCATCCGAACGACTAGACAGCTGTCCTTGTCAGGCCCTCCGTCCTGCATCACTGACAAGGGGAAACCACACCGGAAAATCTGGATGAACTTTCTCGGCAAATGCAGGGATCGAACACCCGACCAGGGTCTACTTGCTCGAAGGGGACGATCACCCGGGGTCCTGTTTTACACGTTGGTGTGCACGTTAAAGAACCCTGACAGTTGGAATTAGATGAAAGGTTGATGCACATACCACAAAGTATGGTTAGATCGATTTGATAAGGCCGACTTCAGGTTTGTCCAGAGGTCACGAGTTGTAAACAGGGCTAGCGCTAATCCCAACCCTAACCCTAACCCTGGACCTAGCCTCAATGCTTACCCAAACCCTAACCTACAATCTCGCCAACAATCACGTGCCATAACCTTATTTACATCTCTGCAACATTGACGAAAATTGAGCTGGCCTTAACCAAAAGATTTAGCCAGCCTCTCGTGCAAGTTTTATCCGACCTTGACGTCAGGCCCCATTAAATTAAGATTTTGTATGTTCCGAATTTCGAGCCTGGGATATTTTATCATGGAGTTAAAAAGAAGGATAATTGTGTAATTAATTTAGTTCACTGGCTGAATGGGTTAGTTAGATTCACGAGATAAGATATGTAGTGTTTAAAATAACTTTTAAATAAAACATTAGGTTCGTAATCGATTTACAGGTCAACGACCTTGGTGCTTTAGATAACGTTTTATTTGGTGTCAAATAGCGAGACGTTTGTTCCAAGCAGGGTAATAATAATAGTATTGGGCAATTTAAGAGGACAACATGCTTAATGCATAACAAAAAGATTGCATAGTTTAAAGGGACAATACGGGTGATTAAAATTCAAACATAAATGAAATGGGATTTAAAAATGAAATGGGGTTTAACGTCCTACTGTTCTGCTGCGACTAGGCAAATGATGACGGGCATACGCCATTCAGTGTGCTATGAAGGAAATTTTGACCGGTCTGCGCCACTATGACCTGCTCATATCGAACTGGCGTGGTTTCCATTCCCCGGTTGTATGACAAGGAGTAGGGTCGCCTATCCAACCTCGTGGGTTTTCCTGCTACTGCTAAAGACCCATACACGCAAGCGAATTATGGAAATAAAATTGAACCATATGTTAGTCCCGAAATGACCTAGTTTGTGTCGAGTGGACGTTAAAGCCCCCTCCCCTCTCTCTCTCTCTCCGTCTCTCTCTCTCTCTCTCTCTCGCTCTTACACACACAAACATAACTTCTGGGTGGTCAACAGGATAAACAAACAACCGACCCCTTCACATAGGTTAGACCTAGTTGGTCAAAGGTCACGTGATAAAAACAGGGCCTGCGCTAATCCAAACCCTGATGCTAACCCTGACCTAGCTCTAAAGCTTACCTAACACACACCTACAATCTCGTCAACAATCACGTTAACCGGGCTTGCGCTAATGCTAACCCTAATCCTAACCCTAGACCTAACCCCAATGCTTACCTTAACCCTAACGTACAATCTCGCCAACCATTTGTCCTAACCTTTTTTTACATCTCAGCTACCTTGACGAAAATGGAGCTCGCCTTAAGAAATAGATTTAGCCCTTCACATACCATAATTGCATAGCATTACGCAACCGGTATAAAAATAAACCAGTAGGGCCTGGTACATTAATTTTTTTTTTAATTAAGAATGTGATATTTCATGCGAAAAAGGACCCGTCGTCTCTAAAGACGTCAGTATGTCAACATGTTTCAGCACTGAATATGTTTTTCCTTTTTTTTTATACAATGACAGCTTTAGATATTAAGATAGATTATATATTGAAGTGCATCGCTGTACTTTAATATAAATATAAATCGTCTCATTTTATCTAGGCGCAAATTACAATGTCACAACAAAGTCATCAGAGAGAGAGAGAGAGAGAGAGAGAGAGAGATTTAACGTCCACTCAACACAAACTAGGTCATTTCGGGACTAACATATGCTTTAATTTTATTTCAATAATTCGCTTGCGCGTAGGGGTGTTTAGTAGTGGGGGAAACCGGAGGACACGGAGAAAACCCACAAGATTGGACATGCGACCCTACTCCTTGTCACGTACAACCGGGGAATCGAAACCACGCCAATTGACTCAATGACAGACCTTATGATATGTTGAAATGTTAAAAAGAGAGCAATTTTATTTCAATAATTCGCTGGCGCTGAGGAGTCTTTAGTAGTTGGATGAAACCGAAGGACCTTGAGAATAGCCACGAGGTTATGCAGGCGACCTACTTCTTGTCACGTACAATTTTGGTATGGAAACCACGCCACTTTACTCTATAACAACCCTGATGATCTAAAGTGCATCTATTAAATGATTCGACCTCAACCCTTCCAGTGGAATTCTAAGCATCACTTTAAGTCATTGTCTTTTCAGATCGTGAACTTAATTAAAATTTTAAGAATAAAAATGAATACACGTTTTAACGACATTTTACGCCCATCTCATAACATAAAATGATTTTGCAATAAACACAAATTAATTGCACACCCCGCGAACCATGAAAAGTCTTTTTTGTGTGCGCGAAACTAACATTCGCTGTACGGAGTATATATAAACCACCGTGGAGTGGTGGCTGGATAATCAAGTCAAGCTACATGTTTCGCTCAGAAATTAGATTTGTTTAGATGTCTCGATTAATATGCAGGTTGAATGCCCATAGGTCAGTAACCCCAAAAGAACAACAATCACAAATGTCAAAGTTAGCGAATAGCTATGCGTTAAATAGTTGCAGTTTGTTAACACATAGTTTAAGATAGTGTTGTGCTTTCATTATATGGATTGCCCTATTTACCGTTGTGTATCCATAACGTAAATTATATTACTACAACAGCACAAGGCTTTATATAGGTAAGTTTCGTTTACTTATAATGTACTTATTAAATATTCGTTTACACTTATCAATATCGTCGTAATAGCACTGATATTAGTGAAAATATTTTAAAGTTTTATTTTGTCTTGTAAATTAAATGACTTTCGTATATGGTATCCGTTATAGCAGAATAAGCGAGGCAACATTTTTGTAATTACGCACTTGGTATACATTTGTTTTATAGAAAAGTTGGGAGACGCTGTATAGGAAAGTATTTTTTATTTCGTTCGGTGGCTGTATTTCATCAAAGTTTAGCAGGACTCCAGATGCAATCTCGGTTTTGAAATTTTGTTAAAGTTCTGCAATTATGTCAGGAATTCAAAACTAGGCACCTAACTCAAATTAACTACCAGTAGTGACGCGGGTTGTACACGAAGCAGGAAATGCGATCTCGATTTTTCAAATAAAGATCGTTTTGAAGTTTTGTTAAAATTCTGCAATTATGTCAGGAATCCAGCACTATTGCCCTTTAGGTATACCGATACACAACACATGCTCAAATTAACTACTAATAGTGGCGGGGGTCGTACACGAAGCAGGAAATGCGATTTCGGTTTTCCCAAATAAAGTTCGTTTTGAGGTTATGTTAAAATTTTGCAATTATAGCGGTCGTCGTACACGAATCAGAAAATGCGATCTCTGTTTTTCCAAATAATGATCGTTTTGAGGTTATGTTAAAATTCTGCACATATGTCAGGAATTCAAAACTAGGTATGCCGATACATAAGCTCAAATTAACTACTAGTAGTGGCGGGCGTCGTACACGAAGCAGGAAATGCGATCTCGGTTTTCCCAAAAAAAGATTGTTTTGAAGTTATGTTAAAATTATGTAATTAGGTATACCGCCACATAAGCAAAATTGACTATGAGCAGTGATGGGCGTCTTACACGCGGCAGAGCATGCCTTTGGAGTAATTATACAGAGTTTTGATTGCTTACCCATCTCTTCTGGTTTTCTTTTCGGACATTATCGAATATTTATTTCACTGCGAAATCCATGCTAGTATATACTGAAAATTGGTTTAATTAAAGATACATTATGGGAGATTAGATAAAGATCTGTCAGTTCTCACTGTGATAGTTATATACTAGATAATGTAAAGAGGATCTGCTGAAAATTTCAATCAAATTACTTCACTCTGAGCCGAAACAAACGAATTTTTAAAAAAAAAAAAATGTATCCTCGATTGTTACGATAACAAACAAAATCTAGATTAATCATGAACATCCGTTGAATCGCAGATAGGATTCAAATTTGTTTAAAATTTACCCTTCAGATGGCATCGCGAGTTGGTTATGGTCTTGTCATGTTAATAAAGGCCTAACGAAAGATCTGCAATAGGCAGAATAAAGGACGCCAGTCGCTAACTCAATATCATCAAAAGTCTTCGACATTGTAAATACGACTTATTGGTCAATTTAAATCAACATCGATGTTGTTATCTTGCCGTAAAAAGAAGGGGTTCTGATATCAAAAATGTGAGACAAAATTTTAAAATTGGCACACTAATCTCGTGCCAGAACGCTTTCGAACGCCAGTTGTAATGAAGCGACTCGATAAACGAGGCTAAAAATCCACAGGAGTATATTACCGATGTAGACTGGAATAGCCAGACACCAAAGACTGCCATTCAGTTTGGACTCTACTCGTATTTCGCCAATCATAACTGATTAGAAATTACAGTAAAACAGAAACGATTGAATGTAAATCAGTTTATATACATTCACATTACATTATTATATGCGTTGTTACCCATTTGTGTCCATATCTAGGTGCCAAAGCATAGAGATTTCGCTCCTTTAAATAAAAGGGGTTAGATGGCCAAATGGTTAGCGCGCTGTGTCATGAGGTCTGTCATTGAGTCAACTTGCGTGGTTTCGAATCCCCGGTTATACATGACAAGGAGTATGGGCGCCTGTCCAACCTTGTGGGTTTTCTCTCGGTCCTCCGGGTTTCCTCCCACTGCTAAAGACCCCTTCGCGCAGGCGAATTATTGAAATGAAATTGAATCATATGTTAGTCCCTAAATGACCTAATTTGTGTCGAGTGGACCTCTCTCTCTCTCTCTCTCTCTCTCTCTCTCTCGGGGGGGGGGGGGTCACGTGGCTAAGTGGGTAAGACGCTAGCTCGCTAGCATGGACGTCGGGTGTTCGATCCCTGCATTGGCCGAGGAAGTTCATCCAGATTTTCCGGCGTGGTTCTCCCTTGTCAGTGATGCAGGACGGAGGGGCTGACAAGGAACAAGGAAAGCTGTCTAGTCGTCAGGATGGGAGGAAAAACCGAGGTCCCATGTACACATTGGCGTGCACGTAAAAGATCCCTTGGCAGTTGGAATTCGATATAAGAGTAGGCCGTAGTGCCGCTGTCCGGGCAAAATTTCCTTCATAGCACACTGTATGGCGTATGCCCGTCTTCATTAGCCCAGGTTAGGAGCAGAACAGTAGGACGTTAAACTCCATTTCATTTCATTTCATTTCTCTCTCTGGGGTTTAACGTAGGCTATAATTTTATGTATAAAGCGGTCTAATTCTTGGTATATTATATTATTTTATGGTATATAATTGATGATATATAATTGTATGGTATATAGTTGCATGGTATATAATTCATGGCATATAATTTCATGGTACGTCATTTCGTGGTTTATAATTGATGATATATAATTTATGGTATATATTTCATGGTGTATAATTTATGTAATTTCACGGTATATAATTCACGGCATATAATTTCATGATATATAATTTGATGGCATATAATTTATGATATATAATTTATGGTATAATTTCATGGTATATAATTCATGGCATATAATTTATGATATACAATTTATGATATACAATTTATGGTATATAATTTTCTGGTATGTAATTTCATGGTATATAATTCATGTTATATTATTTCATGGCATATAATTTCATGGTATATAATTCGTAGTATACAATTTCATGGTATATGATTCGTGGTATATAATTTCATAATATGTAATTTCATGGTATGTAATTTAAGGTATATAATATTTGGTATATACCGGTATATAATTCATGGTATATAATTTATAGAAGCATTTATGAAGGGATTTAATATAGTTTTTCCTTATAACCCAGTAAACTAAACCGGAAAGTTTTGTTAAAGGTTGTTCCTTGTGACCCATTTAACTACCCCGGAAAGTTTGAAAAACTTGTCAGAAACGCTGCCTTCAGGTGTCTTAATGCACATGAAACAGAATGAAACAATGGTTCTAGTAGAACAGATTGAAACACGATCGAAATTTGATAATTTAATTTAAAAATGGATAACCAAGACTTTGTCTATTATCGTAACAAAGGTAGCAATCAAAATCGAGACTACGCTATTCTCCAAACAGTAAAAACTCCGCCCAGACTAAAGTAATTTGACTGAATTTTTAATATATTCCTTTTTCATTATCTATTTATTAAAAAGGGATAACTGGCAACTCTTTATCTAAATCTTAGATAATGCACCTTTAACGCCCTACTTTTTTGACGGGTAGAAGCCATGGAGTCAATCTGTTTAAAATACAGATCTATATTTCGTTTCGTTTTGTTTTTTTATACTTTCGGTGGCCTACACTACATGCAGATCTGACCTGTTGTACTGGAAGGTCGTTTCAGGGTCATACGAGCGGCTTTTGACCTATGACTTCAGACATTTGATCAACCAATTAGCGTTAATGTTTCTAGTGGGTTACCCACAGTTCCGTGCATCTCGCGCCAAAATCTCGCCCTAACCGACCGCTTCATTGGCTAATCCGTCACATCATTCAGAACGCGGGTTATATAACAGATCCTGGTGTAGTAAAGTCAAGTTAAACGAAATTTTGAACTATAAAAAACGAAACGAAATAGGATCCGTGTTGTAATCAGAATGTCATGCAATGTGCTATGAGGAGAAATTTGCCCGCACTGCTCATCATGGGTTCGGGGATCACGTAGGTAAGTGGATAAGACGCTGGCTCGCTAGCTTGGAGGTCGGGTGTTCGATCCCTGCATTTGCCGAGAAAGTTCATCCGGATTTTCCGGCGTGGTTTCCCCTTGTCAGTGATGCAGGACGGAGGTCCTGACAAGGACAGCTGTCTAGTCGTTTGGATGGGACGAAAAACCGAGGTCCCGTGTACAAATTGGCGTGCACGTAAAAGACCCCTTGGCAGTTGGAATTCGATATAAGAGTAGGCCGTAGCGTCGCTGCCCGGGCAAAGTTTCCCTCATAGGACACTGTATGGCGTATGCCCGACTTCATTAGCCCAGTTTAGGAGCAAAACAGTAGGACGTTAAACCCCATTTCATTTCATTTCATCATGGGTACCTTTCTGTGCACGCAAGGAGAGTTGTATGGTCTAGTCGTGGTTTAACGCGTGTGCGTGGAATCATAAGATTTGTCATTGATTCAAATGGCGTGGTTTCCACTCCCCTCTGAATATAACAAGGCGTAGGGTCGCCTCTACAGCCTCGTGTGTTTTCTCCGGGTCCTTTTATTTCCTCCTACTGCTAAAGACCCCTGCGCGCAAGCGAATTATTGAACTAAAATTAAACCTTAAGTTGGTCCCGAAATGAACTAGTTTTTGTCGAGTGGACATTAAACCCTTGATAAATTAATTAATTTAAATAACATTTCAGGCCTAAAGAAAGACCTGCAATAGACAGATGTAGCCCTTGCATAATTTATGTTTAATTCAACCATTTCCATTTTATTGCCTCTTTCCAGATATAGGACCGACAAATGAGATATAATATGACGGTAAATCAAACAAATTAAGAAATATATTTAACGAATCAGAATAAAAATGCATTGTAATTTCCGGGTTTAAAGGAGCTAAATCGCTAATATTTGGGACCTAGAAATTGACACAAGTGGGTCGCAACTCATATAATACCGTAATATAAATGTATATAAACTGATTTACATTCAATCGTTTCCGTTTTTACTCTAATTTCAAATCATTTATGTTCCGTGAAA